TTTGCTTTAGTGTCTAGAGAGCTGGCCTTGGGGATCAGAAAGACCAAGTTTAAGTCCTGCCCCTGAAACATACTGAATGACTATTGTCACATTACTTAATGTCTAGGTGACTAGGCAGCAGATCCCTAAAACTTTCAATTACTGAAGAGACGCTAACCTGGGTAGGTGAAAGTCATCTCCACGATGGGAATTCCCAGTATGGATTAAATCAGAGATTCAATCCCTCCTTCCCCCACAAACTCCCACAATCTATCTGCAATTTATAGTGGTCCATAAAATAAAATGGTAGTTTAAAATTATTTTTGGCTAAACTGGTTCCCAGTTTCCTTAGCAGTTGTCACTGAATAGAATTCTTTCTTGAATACTTTGCAATCATGGATTTGTTGAAAATTAGAATGCTCTATACACTTTTTGAGGGTCTTGAAGATTTAAAAAAAATTTGCTATAATACTGTGCTCTTTCAGATGCATTATCTTATTGTGGAGTCTATTAAGAAAAACATAAGGGAGTCTAGCTGCCTTTCTCTGATACTTGGGCAAGTGCACCAATGAAAATGCTATGACTGGATAAGCATTATGACTTCTCGTTGTTTCTTTCTCCCTCAGACTCTGTCTTCTGTATAAACTATATCTTTATTTTGTCATGTGATTGGTTTGGCATAGCACTATTGACCTTAGAAGATTGAAATATATGGCAAGTATGGAGAATTTCCTATCAAACCTACTGTGGAGTGAATTTAATACCAGCTCTTCCAGCTGGTTTCATTTTCACATTGCAAAGAAAATGAGACAATGGAGTATGATATGCCTTGATTCTAGGCAGGTCATTTTAGGTTAAGAAAGGGGGTGACTGTCAGGAAGAATATTCAGGGTCATGCCCATTTCTTAACATTTTCCCTTATGCTTTGCATTTTCATAATGGCTAAAATTCAGGAATGTGATAATAGGTGAATTTCATGTTTATATTCTAATTTTAACCATTTCTTGCATTGATTTATATAAAAGTTCAGTGGTTTTTTTTTTAATAGAAGGCTATACTGGTCTGTTAGTTAACCTTTGTCTTCACAGTCACTGAACCTGAGGAAATAGATGTAAATTAAGATACTGTCAGGTTCATAAACTGTGAAATCAGCTGCTCAGGGAGGCTGTATAGTCTCAGTCTTTAGTATTCTTCCTGAAGAGTGACACGTTTCTAAGTGCAGAAAGAGAAATGAGAATGAGGACAGGCTATGTGGAGTTGCCATTGGATTGTCTGCTAATTGCCATTTTTCTTTCTGCCTACTTGGAAGAATTATTAGATAATGTTATCAAATATATTTTGTTGGAAAATGGCTCCATCTACCATAGTGGATTTATGGAAAATTCTTATTTAAGAATAATAAGCATTGGTAAACAATGGTGAAATACCCTGTCAAATTATTTGGCCAAATCGATGCTGGAGTCTTTTTTTTTTTCTTGCCCACTATTTACTAGTAGGTCACACCTAGGTTAAATTATAGGTACTTCACTTTCATCTGGGATTTCAGACCAGTCTCTTATTGAGTAAATCAAGAAACAAGAGTGTGAGGTTCCACTGCAGAGGTATCAGCAGCCTAGTGAATTGCCAAGAAATCCTGGGTAGGCTTTTTTTCCTCTGAGGCTTCATCATTACTCCAAATGATCTCTTGGATAAATTGAACGGAAAAAGTCATCATAGTTACTATAAGTCACTTAAAAACATACACAGCCCTGCCCCGACTTGTTCTAAAGGACCTTTTAAACTCACTTGACAAAGAAAATGAAGTACCAAGGAATCCTGATACCAAATTGAGAAGATTCAAAATCTGGAACTATGCCCTGGAACATGTGTGGAAGTGAATGTCTCATTCTTCCCTGCTCTACGAGGGAGAATAAGACAGTTGGAGACAGGGTTGTAATAGAATCATCTGGATTAAAAAAAAAATGATAGAATGATCTTTCTGGATGACATTTATCTGGGTCTCCTATGAGGGGAAGAAAACCACTGGAAGATTAATTTCTTTCCTTTGGTTCCCCACACACCAAACAAGTTCTGCTTATTCCTTTCAGAGAATGTATGCAAGGCTTTTTATTAGTGTCATTTAATGTTGTGTGTATATGTGTGGGCAAGATAGTGACTGGCTCTGGATGTTTGTTTTTCCCCCTGCAAAGGTGGCATTTAGCAGGTACTGCTAAGTGCTAGATATGGTTTTGCCAAAGATTTCAAAATGCTTTCAGGCATTTATTGTTGACAATTATTTGACTTGTTTTCTGCTAAGAGCCTTAAGTTTTATAGAGGTTAAATGACATGTCCAAGAGGTTGACAGAAAATCTATGGCAGAGTTCAGAGGTCTTAGCCAAGTTATTTGCAAGTGGCATGTCACAGGAGTTGTGTTCAGTTCATGGGGATTTTGAATTGCCTGAGGGACAGGACCAAAGACCACCCAGTAACCACTGAAAGAGTAAAATATGTATGGATCTCTTCATTTAGCTGTTTGATAGTCCTGAGAAAGCCCTCTGTCTGAATATGAATTTTAGTCACACAAAAATTGAAGGTGGACATTACCTTCATATTTTGAAAGACATGATAGTGTATGTAATATAAGATATTGCGAAGGGTTTTAAATGTTAAAAAGTGAATAACTTCTTTAGGAACATCTCTTTGGCACAAGTATGAAGGATTGTTTGGAGGGGGGAGAGACTGCAGACTAGAAAACCAGTTAGAGCGTTCCTACAATTTTCTCTGGAGAGGTGGTGAGGAGAGCCTGAACTAAGCAGATGGCTAGGTGAGGAGAGAGAAAGGCACAGACACGAGAGAAGTGGTGGATGTAGAGTTGACAACTGATTAGATGTGGTGGGCGGATGAAGAGTCAGGGATGACTCTAAGATTTAGAATAACATATATAATCAATAAGTCATATTCTTAAAGTCTTTCAATGTTTTTTACATGTGATCTTATGGACATGCATTATTAAACATAAAAATGTAATGTTCAAGCATTGAAATGCATTTGAGAATGATTGTTTCTTTGCTTTAGTTCACCAATGTTAATATTTGTATGTAATCAGATTGGCATGCAACATGAACAATTCTTGTGAAAATGAGTAACCATAATAATAATCCCTAATTAAGTATCTACCATGTTTTTATTATGCTTAATTTTAAATAAAAATATAGGAATTGATAGTGAGTCATTTTCAGATTTTTTTTTCATTTATTTTAAGCAAAAAAATTCTCAGAAATTATTTCTGAAAGAAATTTCACATTTCAATTGGGAGAAAAGACTCTGAAGGCAGACCATTATTGGTAAAATGTCAAGGGGTGACTGTTCTCATAGACATGCCAAAGGTCCTTTCTTGGTATGAGACATCATACTTCAAATTGTTCTGGTTTGAGTTAATATGCCTTCATGTAGTTTTTGCAGATAGAATCTTGTTTTTCTGTGCCTGAGAGTTGGTTAGGATTGCCAAGTGGCAAAATTAACATAAAATAATGGAATCAGTATATTTAGTTCTTCCAGGAGTAGGATAATAAAGATAAATACAGCTATAAATTGCTAACTGGAAGGAAGCAGAGGAATCATCAAATGTACCTTTTTTCTAGAGGCAGCTGATGGTGCAGTGTGTGCTATGTCTAGAATCAGGAAGACTGGACATCAAATCTGGCCTCAGCCACTTTCTAGCTGTGTGACTCTGGATAAGTCACTCAACCTCTGTTTGCCTCGGTTTTCTTAACTGTAAAATGGGGATAATAATAGTAATCACTTCACAGGGTTATTATAAGGATCAAAAATGCTAGAATCTATAAAGCATTTAGCACAGTACCTAGCACAGAGTGGTGCTATATAAATTCTTATTCTCTTCTCCTTCCCTTTTATAGATTGGAAACCAAGATCTGGCAAGGTCAATTATATTCTAAAAGGCAGAGATGGGATTCAAACTTTGTTTCTCTGAACCAATGTTCAGCACTCTTGACTGTACCATGAGGAATCCTTACACCATATAGGAAAAGACACCAGAAATTAGAATTCCACTTTGTATGGTGGCTCTTTCTTTGGATCTAAAAACCTCACTTTCTGCAGAGCATATGTAGGTTTTAGGGTCTAAAATAAACTTTCCACTATATTTTTAATTTATTACGTAGTATTTAGGCCACTATGTAATTAATTAAAAATGTAATGGAAAGTGTATTTGATTACTTACTAGAGTCTTGGGTTCTGATCTAGAGCCTGTTTCTAATTCATTAAGTTAATTCAGGTCTGTGGTGACATCTAAATAACTTATAGGCCCTAGTATTTCTCCCATAATTTGGGTTTGGTGTAGACCTGAAGTTTTTAACCTGGATCAAAGCGTCTATGGATAGACATTAAGGAGTCCATGAACTTAGATGGGAAAAAAATTACATCTCTCTTTTCACAAATCCCTAATTGAAATTGCTCATTTTACATCCTTATATCTCTGTTTTCACTGTCTAACTGAAATTTATCGTTTCCCTTACTTATATAAAACATTATTCTGAGAAGATGTCAATCATCTTTCCTAGACTGCCAATTGAATTTATGGCACAAAAGTAAAGAAATGATGGTAATAACCTTTAGAGGTTCCATTCTGCTATAACATGAGAGGAAGTTATAAACTGGTGGAGTTGTTTTCTCTCTCTGCCCCACCCCCCTACCGCCCCCCACCCCCAGGATGTGGAGTCCGAAGACTTGGGCTTAGCAAACTTCTATTTACTGGAAGCATGACCTAAAATGAATTATGTCATTGTTCTGAACCTGTTGTCCTGTCTTTCACATGGGAATAATGACATTTCTATCTTTCATAGATAGAAATGCCCCTCCATATTTATCATGAAGATCAAATTAATAACTAAAGTCTTCATAAGCATTATTTATTAAATATCAGCTAACACTTTCTGATTCTATATATGGATATTAAAAACAATTTCTTTTTGGTACCGATTCATTTGACTTTATTTAACTGTAGATTTTATTGTTTTGAACAGCTGGTCGCTATATTTGATGAACAAGATCCACATCATGGAGGTGATGGTACCAGCGCCAGTTCCACTGGCACTCAGAGTCCAGAGATTTTTGGCAGTGAGCTTAGCGCCAACAATGTTTCAGCCTTTCAACCCTACCAAGCAGCAAGTGAAATTGAGGTCACGCCTTCCGTTCTTCGTGCAAGTAAGTGAAAGCTCTCGTTGCTCTGCACATTTCATCTTAATTTACAGGGAACCCAACTTTTGTTACCCTTTCATGCTACTGTGAATGGAATTCACAGTCTGTGTTTATCAGAAGCTGATTAAAGAGCAGAGCCTGAATAAATGCCTCTTGCAAGGGAGGTAAATAAGCTTATTTTTCATTTTAATAGTTTGGATAGACTTGACTTTATCCTGATAGGACCTTTTAATTGCATACCCAAATTTAAATTATGATCTTATTGCAGGCAAAATTACAAGTATGGTTATTTACCTTAGTGCCCTATTTGACACGATGTAATGAAATTGAACACAAAGTATGGGTAGTGGGAAAATGCAAAGGAACAAAGTTAATTAGTAAGTAAACCCTATAAACAACTTTTATGGTATAGTTCTTTTGCTGTTTCTCTTGTCAACCAAGGGTCAGATTAACAAGGGAAAAGGAGCAGTTTTGTTTCAAAGATACACCTGGTCTCATCTGTTCAGTTAACTGGAAGAAAGGTCATCAGGGTAAAGAACTGACACTTTGAATTTTGAGATGAATCATGATAACTGGTAATGTTTCTCAGAGTACGTAAGACACCATGGTCAAGTTGACAGAGCATGGCATTAGGGGACAGGGAGAATTGGATTTAAATCTCACCTCAAATATTTACCAACTATGTGATCGTGGGCAAATTGCTTAACCTCTCTGTGCCTCAGTTTCCTTAATTATAAAATGAAGTATTGGATTTGATTGCTTCTAAGATGTTTTCCAACTCTAAATCTATGATCTCATGATATTGTTCATCCAAAAGCACATTGAATACTTTGAAGTTTATAAGTGAGCTGGTTTAAAGACAGTGAGCTGATTTTGAAGTGTTCTACTTTGAAGCACATCAGAATTATAATGCTATGGTTGCTAAATGGGAATCATTGGATCATAGATTTTGAGTCAGAGGGGACCTTAGAGGCCATGAAGTTCAGTACCCTCACTTTGCATCCGTGTTGTTTTATTGGTACCATTAGGTAGCTCTGTGTGAATAGTTTTATTTTCTCTACTTTGTTCTCTGTAAATTAGTCTGTCCCTCCCTCTTTTGTTGATTGGGGATTATTGCACTTTAGTGACTTGGCTGGTACAATGAAGTAATCTTCATAGACATGCAGAAACTGTTTTTCATTTTTATGTCCCTCCAAGGTAGGGGGAAATAAGCAGAAATATGAAAAAAAAAAAACGATGATGTTGGCTTCAACTGTGAACAAACCTGTCACCTCCTTAGAAATTTTCAGCCAAGTGTCATTTCTAGAGGAGCATAGAATTTAGGAGGCACACACTGCATGATGGGATATGTAAGTGATGCCCTGGAGGATCATGTGTAGATGCAAACCAATTAAGTTAACCACTTACTGAAATTGCTTTCTATCATCTGGACAAGAAGCAATCACAAGTGAGACAAAGGCATAGAGTGGAAAAGTGAAAGGCTTATGTAGAAACCAGACCAGAAACTGTACTGTAGGACATGCCAGTTTGATTCTTCTTTGTAAATGTGGTCTACAAATTTGGCCATGTACTTAATTTACTGAGATATCTCATTTTGTAGAGGAGATAACTGGCTCCTTGATAAAATTCTTATCTATTGAAATTTTATTAATCACATTATCATGTGCTGGAAGGAGGTCTGCTTGCTAAAGAATCACTCCTTAATCTGGATTTTTGTATGCAGATGTTATTTGGCCTCAGGTAGAATCTGAATTTGGCCACCTCCTTCTGTGGGAAGGCAATGTATTGCCATAGTCTGAACAGAATTTTCTACAATTTTTGTCCTTCCAACTCCTCCATTTTGAATCTTTCACAGTCCTTTTCATTTCCCCTGCTTTTAGCACAAAAAATACTGCCACTAAACCTTGATTGAACCTTGCTTTTGAAATCCAGGTAGTGGTTTGAGCTTCACCATCCATATTGCCTGCTTCTCAAAGAGATCTGAAAGTTGCAACATAGCTAAAATGGGTTTTTGCAGCTACTCTTGAGAGATGAGAGATTGTGAATCCCACTTTCTTGTTTTGCTTTTATAATCGATATCTTTTGAAGTCTTAACAGTCAATGAACAAATATGTTCGATGCCCACTGTGTACAAGGTGACATTCATGATTTATGTCTTTTTATATTGACTACTTGTGCTCAGTAAGCTCAAAAACTTAACTGGCTTACCTACTTCAGACAAATCTAGAGGGCTTTACCTGAAAAAAAAAACCCAACAAATTTTAAAAACAATTCCACACGTACTGAATGTCTATTATCTTCAGGGACCAAAATAAGGAAGAAAGATCTTTGTCTTTAAGGCACTTAAAATAGAATATGGGACATAAAACATGTGTACGTATAAGACAAAATAGAAACTTAATGAATATATTAGAAAGGTATAAAGTAAATACTGCCATAGTTCCATGGAGGACAAGGTCACTTTTTATTGGGGGAATTTGGAAGCCTTCTCCAAGGAGTATTCATTTGAACTAGATTGTTGGAAGTGGTGACCTTGGCTCTGTCAGATACATTCCAATGAATGTTCAAACTTACTTTATGTAAATCAAAATGGAATAAGTCACAGAGAAATGATACGAGGAAGCATTTAGGAATCTTTTAATTAGACATAATATTTGTAAGCCCAACTCTGCCACAAACTTTGTTGCCTTGGACAAGTTTATCTCACTTCCCTAATTCTTTGGGCCTCAATTTCCACATATGTAAAATGAATGAGTAAGACTACATAACTGCTGGGGTCCTTGTAGCTCAAAATTCTAGGCCTTACTGTTGATACTGAATGTAGCAAAAGCAAAAATAATTCATAATTGACTCTCTTCTTTTTAAAAGTTTTTAAATACATCATAAATATCCAGGCTGTTTTCAAGTTAACTGCCATTTAAAGGTCATAAGAAGAAAAAATACTTAACGTATTCTTGCTATGTGATATAGAGATGCTAGTTAATTTAAATTATGTATATATAATATACAAACACAAATATGTGTGTATATTTATGCATATGTATGTATATCTTAGAGTAAAAATTTTAACAATACTAGAACAATATTCAGTAATGGATATAGAAGTCTATGTGAAATGTGATTATTATCTCCACTCCAGATTTCTTAGTTTTAATATTTCTTTTTCTTAAAAGAAAATTATCCAGGATGCATTTTCTATTTGAAAAAGATCCAAGATCAGTGCCGATATCCATCCTCTTACCATTAACTGGTATTAGACATACCATTTCAAGTATTTGATTTAAATATATATTGGAAATAGAAATAAGATCCCTATTGTATTTCCTTTTAACTTGTGAAGTGGAGCGTGGCATACAAATAGTATTCTCAGTATTTCAAATAATTACCTCCTTACTGCACAAGTTCTATTCAGCATATAAAACCCATCCAGTTTTGTTGTAGATGCAATCTGATTATTACGTGTTGACAAGGTCATATATCTATTAATTGGATTGGAGATGGGATACAAAATTGCTGTAATTATTGTAATTTTCTAGCTAATTGCAGGGTTGGTGGTGAATATTTTACTTCTGTAAAATGAAAAACAGTATTCCATCTGAAGTTGTTTTGTGGAGTTTTAGGCATTTTGTTTTATATCTCTGGTGCTTTTTGCCCACAAAGAGTTCCTCCATTTTTCTGTAATTGACTCTTGGCAATAACTAAGGCCCCTGGGCAAAGGTGGAGGGCTTTGATGGCACTTTGACCTACTTATTTGTTGTGGCTGCCATGTTGGTTCTATTGTTTGTTTGTAAATTATTATACTATTCTTTTTTTCCTAAAAGTTAGGTGGGTCCCACCCATTTGGAAAAGGGATTTCTTTTCCTTTAGCTATATATACCCTGTTCTGAAATTTTTTTAAAAAAAAATTAGTATTCTGGTGCTTTGATCTTGCAATCTCTTCTATGAGATATTAAATTGAGTGAATAATAAGACCACTGACCCTTTTAATAAAAGCTTTGATATAGTTAATGTGCTATAACTTAGTATGGTTATAAGCAATGGAATACTGAAATATATGGAAGCTGTGCCAGCTTCCCATACAGTAGTTAGATTTCATCAGTTGGGTGAACATTTTAAAAACAGACGTACATAGCATGAGATTTTTTTTAGTGGGGGGTGGGAGGAGGAAGATGGGGGTGACTCTGCTTCCAAGGAGAGGTTGGAAGCTATCTGCAGAAGATTGTTAAAGCAGACTGATGTTTATTCCCTGCTGAAATATAAACTGGAGGCGCAGGTGAAAATTGCCAAACCTAATGAGCAATTTGGCAGATAAGACAGGATGTCAAGGCGACAGCAGTTCAGCAGCGGGTGCACTGTCTGTGAACCAACTTGTTTGTTCCACAGAACTGCATTTAAATAACATAAATAAAAGAGCTTTTTAAAAAACTGGTATACAGCATCAGAAAGAAGTCTCTTATTTCTTTAGATTTTTAAACTTTACTTAAACAGTATTGCCATTAAAAAATTTGGTTTTGAAATTCATTTCTAAATAACTTTTGATATTTAGGCAGTGTATATAAATAAAAGAATACATTTCCTTCCAAAGGAATATTAAGTAATAAATGAAGTATTAATACATAGCTTGGTCCCTTGGTTCAGTAGATCACAAAATTTGAACTATAGTTAATAGTCTTTGTGTTAGAACACTAAATTAACACAAAAAGCTTCTAAATGAGAAATAACTTGTTTTTTCAAGCAAGTATGTGAAATACTTTGCACAAGGTTGATTCTTCCCTACTGAAGATATTTAAGTCCTCCCAAATGAGATGCAGGTATTTTTTTTTCTGTTTAAGAAATAAATAAGGCATTATAACTAGGAATATAACCCTCTCTCCAGTCCCCCAATAAGTCTGCTTTCAGTTCTAATGGGATATAATGGTGTGAGTGTCTAAAAATCTTTTCAGTGTTGAGGATCTGAATATATCTAGGTAATAAAAATAATAGTGATTTGCAGTGATATAATGCTT